TTGTCGACAAGATCGAAGATTTCTTTACTGATCTTAGGTGAGTGGCCACGACCTACTCCTGCCACCACCGTAGCCTTGGCCAACAGAGAATAAAGGAAGCGTCAAGAGAAGCTTGTTTGGGGGCAGAATGAGAGCAGGTGGGCAGAAGAGACTGCACTAACCTCCTATTTCTCCTATGCCTTAACTATGGGATGTCAGGTAAATAACTTCACCTTTCTTGGCTGCAATGTGCACACATGGGAGATGATGAGATTGGATGACACGGCCCTCCTTGCTCCCAAAATTGTCTCAATGGATTCTGCTCTAAGAATTGAGTAGGACATTGACCTAAAAACCACTGATGACAGAAAAGCAATAAAATAAACAAGCTGATTTTAAAAACAAAACATGAGCTTTTTAATTGTCACCTTTTCCAAAAAGTACAATAGAATCAACAACTTCTAAATCATAAGTTTAGAAAACCAAATTTATCTAACTTATGTTATTTTCAGGGGAAAATGTTATCACTCCATGTAATTTTAGGGCTTTGCTATTTAAGATTTAAGTCACGTGGCATGGCTGAAACTGAAGGCATAAACAGGCTATGCCAACTCTGGCTATCCTTTGTGGCCCCAGATACTTGTGGGAAACAAGCTGCTGGGTGACAGAAAACTAAGGTGTTACTGTATTCATTAACATAATGGTGCAGTATCACTTATGAATGGCTTTTGTTCCTGCCATATGGACCTCAAAAGCCTATCTTCCACAAAAGAGCAGAAATCTCGGAGACAAGCAGGCAATTAATCTCATTGGCCTGGCTTAGCATAACAACTTGGCACCTAGTTCACAAGATTATCAAAGATGATCATGAGATAGCTCCCCCTCATGATCAAGACATTTGTACTAGTTTATTCAGGTTTCTAATCAATCCCTAACATCATGGTTAAGTGTAATCACTGATTTACTGACTCCTTTAGCTGACAATAAAAAGGGGACTCATGAGAGTCCCTTTATAGATATGTATTCAACGATTCTGAGCTCATTTTCTCTGACACTTGAGAACAAACCATCACACCACAGTTAACCATGTTTTCTACATCCAACAAAATCTCTATATTGTGAAAACTACTATGCATTTAAAAGGTCTTTCAGAGACCCTTCTTGACCATATATGAGTAATTTCCACTACCACTAATTACTTTTCATAAAGGTAGAGTGGAACAGGTCTGTATGCTTGTTTACTTAGGGAAATTTGAACTGAAGGCTACAAAACTTAAAAAAAAACCCATTGGATTTTTTTTTCCTTCAAATAAGGACAGGAAACATAAAATTCCATTTAAAAATATAACTATTTTGGGTCATTGAGGGGAAACTATCTCCCCCTAAAGTGACCAAAACAGAGAACAGAAAAGAGGAGTAGGAAACAGAAAAATAGGGGGAAAATTTTAAAAAGGGAAAAAAACAAGGAAGACAGTGAGTGAGGCACACAGAAACACAGTAAGACATTCCAAAGAAAGAGGTAAAAAAAAACCAAGAGGACAGAGAGACACAGAATTGAGAGAAACAAAATTTCCTGGACCAGTATTTTCACCTCATGGTATTTTGGGATATTTCCCTCCTAAAGATGTCAAAGGTATATTTCATTTATATAACCAAGGCATCTATGGGGATATTACCTCATGGAATTTAACAGACCACAGAAAATCAGTCCAGTGATCCAAACTGCAGGCTACAATTATTCCCTACCGCAAACTGAAAAGGTATATGGATGTCAACAGTCCTGGACCAGGTTCAATCAAATTAATGAAAAGGTATATCCAATTCCATGATTCTGTGAAGCTAAGTATTTATATGCCTGCTACTAATTGTCCAGATGGAATATAATTGAAACTGAATGCCCCCTCCTCTGGGGACAGTATTAAGAACCTTGAAGAAACGTAGGGGAATTTTAAAGCTCTCCAGCTAAGGCAGATAAACTTTGCCACTACAGAAACCTAAAGTTGCCATTTTTAACATCCCATATTAAAAATGGGTTCTTGTTTGAACCTTGTAAGAGACTAGCAAATGAATAGTTTTAGGTATAGTTAAAGTAGAAATGTTAAACAGAGATTCGTTTCAGAAAGCCACTATTTTCAGTTGGTCTTTGCAAAGAAGAGATCACAGGAATGCATAGGCCAACACAGACAAACATCTACTCCCCAAAAGCAATAAAAATTGTCTCATGTACAAATAAAAAAAAAATCTATTTCCAAGTAGTTTGGACTCTCCAAGCCGAACCCATGGGCTTACAACAGAACTCAATCCTACAAATATCCGCCACCCCTGCCCCCAAAGTGGCAGATGAGCTAAAGGAAGAGGCACCTGGAGCAGGACATGCATGTGTACAAGTGTGAGTGATTCCACCGAGCCAGAGGCAAAGAGCCTGGAGGAGAGCTTTCTCCTCCATTCAGAAGTCACTTGGCTCAAAGACAGAAGCCTATGGAACATGGCCCAGCATGGGAGGAAGTTAACATAGGTTCTGAGGTTCAGCACCCAAATACAGTGTGAATTAAAGCACTAGAAATGGACATAAGATTCCTCTGTAGCTGTGCCATAATAGGTTTTGCTTTTAAATATAACTCCAATTTTAAAAGCATTTCAAAAGTTCCTTCTAAGCACTAGAAATAGCCACCACCATTAATACCACCAACCACTACATACACATACAATGTCCCAACCCCACACACCCAAGATAAGTCTCTATAAAATGATGTCAAGTGATTCACCTTCACTCTTCCCACAGTAACACTTAAGCTCAGGATATCAAAAGAAAATCAAGCTAAGGAGATCCATGCACATGTAGCATGTTATCTGGCATTAGAAGTAGAATCCTGTCTTCAAAAACACATATAGGAAACTCCAAAGTCTTTTCACTAGCCTAAAGCAAGCAGGAAGAAGAGAGAGGGTTCGTTTTTTGTTTGTGTGGTTTTTTTCCCAAAGAAACCAAATTTCAACAAGTACCTAGGGTATGGATCAACACGACAGATTCATTCACCTGACTACCCACACTGAAAAAACAACATGATTAAAATACATTATGCCTTTGGGGAAGTAATCAGTGTGATCTATACTGATGATCATTACTAAGACAGCAAAACTTGGGAAAAGAGGTCTAGTCTCTATTTTTGTATGACCATACTTTGTGCTCACATTTTCTCTTTTGTTTATCATCCTTTCAGCTAAAATGGAACAAGAAAATTAATTCTTCCTCAGGGTAAAAAGAAAACATTCTAAGTGCCCATCTTTCTTTCTCTGCAGTCTGTTAAGAGAGTTCACCCATCTTCATGGCTTTACTTATCAATTCTGATGACTAACATCTTTATTTCCAGTATTAACAATCTCACTCCAGCTCCAAGCCAATATCCCCAAATGTCTTGGCTACTGGGTGTCTCAAAGTGAACCAATCTTCTCCAAAAACAAAAACAAAAACCAACCAAAACAAAAAACAAAACAGATCCCCATTTCTCTCCATTGTAACCTCCTGATTCCAGACACCCAACCTTGAAAAAGGTGGAAAAATCTATGATTTTTCCCTCCCCTCCCATGGCCCACCATCTGGAACTTTTTACAAATCCAATGTGTCTTCAAAAGGTATATCAATCACCTTTAAGTTCCACTTCTAGTGCATACCTTACCAATTCAGGATTTCAGTAAGCAAAAGCTTCAGGTCAATAGATCCACAAAAGCTTCCAAGAGAGTCACTGGGATACTTGATAATTTTCTCTAGGCCAGGGGTTCTTATGTCATGTAGCCCTTTGGCAGTCTGGTGAAGCCTATTGACTCCCACCTCAGAAAAATGTTTGGTTAGACTTTTTCTTGGACTCCAAAGATAATTACTGTCAGCACCATAAAGCTGGGTGTTTAATTACACAAATCTGGAATAAATAGCTACGGTTTTCCTGTGTAGATCTTGTTTCCACAACCAAACCATATATATCAGAAGGGATGATGACATACTTTTTCAGTATCTTCCTCAGGCATAAGCAATCAATCAATCAATCAGGAAAGACTTTCTTTATTAGGACTAGTTTACGTGACAACTTTGTGTTAAATGCTAAGAGGCAAAATGACAAAAATTAAGTAGTCCCCCTACCAGAGGTGGGGAACCTGCGGCCTTAAGGCCACACGTGGCCCTCTACGTCCTCAAGTGCAGCCCTTTGACTGAATCTAACCTTCACAGAACCAATCTCTAACGTTAAGTAAAGGAGATGCTGTCAATAAATTCTTGTTGACTAATCAGTTAACATCCCCAACTGTAATCAAAGCTACTAAAAGTCAGTGTGTACCTTTAGCTTTATCCCACCATATAACAAAAGATACTTTGTGGTAAAGATTTCTGAGTAAAATAAAGATATGATATTAAAGCCTCTCTAATCACCACTGTAAATAACCCTCTTTTCTGGCAGATATGAATGCAAGAAGTCTTATGAAATGCATCCAATTCTTCATATCATGCACATAGGTCATCATATCCATTTCCTTCTACATGGAGGTCAGGCTTAGTAAAGGTGACAACAGGCAGGTGAATGAGTATTGGATTAGGCAGGAGAAAAACTGGTTTTCTTTCCCCCACTCTACCAGTAAGTACATGTGAGACCTCAGGCAGTCATTATCTCCCGTGGTTTCACTTTTCTTATCCATAAAACGAGGAAATTGGACAAAGGCTTCCTTCCACAAATAAATATACTCTCTTTCTCAAAATACTCTGAACACATCTGACCTCACTGGATCTCAGAAGCTGAGCAGGGCCAGACTGGTCAGCACTAGGACGTGGAACCATCTGAGTAGGCTTGGGTAGATACTGGGATGGTGGAATGAACAATAGCCATGGAGTCAATGGGGCTGAGGTGACTTGTGTGACCTTGGACAAGTCACTACTGAATCTCTTGTGGAAGATGAGAGGGGCTCATGGGAATGACCTCTGAGGGCCCTTCAAGCTCTCCGCCTGGGTCGAGGAAGCTATGATGCATCAGAGTACTCACCATGTCCATTGTGAACGTGCTTGTGTGTTTTTCCTTTTCTGGGGGTTGACTGGCATGAAGATGAAGCATTGTTTGTGGCCGCTTTAGTATCTTCTGTCTCTTCATCCTCTTCTTCTACATCCTCCTCATCCTGAGAGCTTCCAAAATATACCATGTTGTTGGGCAGCGCTGGGGAGCCTGGATGGGATAAGCAAATGGTTTTGTGAACAGAAATCCCTTCAGAGCTCGGGATAGATTGAAACAAGGATGATTCCTCGGCTGCTCTGACAGGTACCAGAGAGGTGGACTGATAGGGTAATTACAGCAATACTTTCAACAGTGAACATTTAACTAATAAAAAGCCTGTCATCCAAGGAAATCAGCTTTACCTCCTGGCATTTCAGACAGAGCCAAAGCAAAATGTGACCAGGCTAATATAATGCTATTTAACCTTCGTAGCACATGCCTCAATTTCTTTAGTAATTCTTACAATAACATAAAATAAAGGCATATGAAAGGAGAGTGGTATGTTCACTTAATTTTTTTTTCTTAGAAAATAGGCCATTCTGGATTACAACTTTTAACAAGTTTTATACTTCAGAACACAAACACAAAAAATATAACACTGTCAATTCTAGGACAGGCCCTAAGTCGTGGGTGGGGGTGGAAGGAGAGGTTATAGAAAGGAATTTTGATTTTGGAGAAGGAAAAGGTCACTCAGCTATCCCCTTTACACTTGCCATCTGTTCCCAGCATGTATCCCAAGGGGTTTCACTAACTCAAAGGTGCTATATGTGAGGGGTTTCCTGACTTTTTGATCAAGCACCTCTGTCAGTGAAAAGTTTTCAAGCATCTATGTTCAATGTAGATATTACTGGACTTACAGATTATATACATGTTACTGTACTAATAATGATGTACATTATAAAATTTACATCAAAACTGAAAGTTTAAAACAAAAACAAAAGGGATGAGATAAAAGCCAAATAATATCTCCTCCTTCACAAAGTAATTCCAGCAGTTGTATGGTTATCCGAGACACACAGCCAACTAGTAGCTCAAAACACCCAAAGCCATTCCCTAACACACAAGTGACCAAAAGACAGGAACAAAAAACAGCTCTCTAAAGAAAAAATTACAAACTATTAAGAACACAAAAGAATCCAAATCACTAACAATAAAATAAATTCAAAACAAAACAACTCTGAGGTTTCAGTTCACACTCAGTACATTGGCAAAGATAACACAAGACTGAAATACTCCATGTTGGACGGATCCTGGAAAAAAAAAATTAGCATATTATTGCATTTTAACATAAGCGTGAGTTGGTGTACCCATTCTGAAAAGCAACTTGAAATTATGCCAATCACGTAGCTCAAATGGACACACCTTTTTACTCAGAGACTACACGGCTAAGTATATACCCTAAGGAGGTCACTGGAAAAAAAAAAGCTCACATATACAAAAATATTTATAGCAGCCCCTTTTTGTGGCAGCAAAGAACTGGAAACAACATAAATACAACTCACTTTGGAAATGATTAAACAAACTGTCATCAATGAAAGCACTGGAATATTAAACTTCTTTTTTTAAAAAGGTGAATATGTTAAACTAAAAAAAGGGTGCAAATTATTACCTGACCTGACACAAACTGGAATGGGCAAAACCAAGAGAACAACATAAGCCACCACAACCACAATGTAAACAGAAAGAACCACAAACAATGGAAAGTGAATGTTGCAAAATTGCAAAGAACAAGCCTGGCCCCCAACAGGGGCCAGGAGAAGGCACTTCCACCAGGCAGCCAGGCAGAGCAGTGTAAAGAGCACTGGGCCTAGAGTTGGGAAGACTCAAGTTCCAATCAGCTACTTCCTAACTGCGTGACCCTGAGCAAGTGCCTCAACCTGTGTCCACCTCAGTTTCCTCATCTGTAAAATGTTGATAATAATCGCACCAACCTCCCAGGGTTAGTGCAAGATCAATTAGATAACACTTATATGAAGTGCTTAGCACAGCTTTAAAAAGGGTTTGTTCCCTTCTAAGGGATGGCTCTCCAGAAGCTGTTAGGATGAAGAATACATGGAGAAATTAGATGATACAAAAAACAAAAGGTAAAAAAGTTTTTTGTTTTCCTTTTTTTTTTTTTAAAGCTTTTCTAATAGTCCACGCAAGAAGTGATCAGTGTGTGACCCTGGGCAAGTCACTTAACTCCAATTGCCTCACACAACCCCTCCCCAAAAAAAAGAGTGATCAGTGCCTGAAATAGGGTGGTGACTGGACCACCTGAGTTGGGAAAGGGAATGATTTCTAGGTGGAACAAAAAAGTTTTGGCAACTAATTGGCTATGTGGTATGAGGGAAAAAGAGGAGACAGATGATACTGAGCTACTGAGAACCTGGCTAAGTAGAATGGTGGTTCTTGCCAGGGATAGGGAAGTATGGAAGCAGAGTGGGTTTAGGGAGGAGGTGAAAATACTCTTTATGAAGCCAATATGCCTGCTCTTCCTGCGTGGCTTTTTCTGTCCCAACCCAAATGGGAATAGGAGGCCCTCACTCACCAGCCACTGGCCCTAACATAAAGTCAAGCCAAAAGGGCCTGTCAGAGAGCCGAGACGATGAGGGGTTGGGGGAAGGGGGAACTCCCAAAGGGAATGATGCAGCTGTTTCTGTGGATGCCAAGGAGCCCTGAGAGGCCCCGCCCAGTCTGTCTCATAAAGGGAGGATGGGGAGACTGGCAAAGGGAGGGATTGCTAGGGGACAGGGATAGGTGTGACTGTGCCAAAGACAAATAACCCTGGCTATTACAGCAAGGGTAGAGTGCGTCCCATCCTTCCACCCTCCAACTGGGAATATCATAGAACCTTGGGAAGCAAATCCAGTGGACCCTATTTGGGAGTCCATTGTTATATACAATAAAACATTCACAGCAGCAGCCTTTGTGGGGGCAAGATATTGGGGGGACGGGAGAGGAAGATGGTTGGATATCAACTACAGAGTGGCTGAACAAACTGTGGCAAGGGGAATGTAAAGAGATACCATGAGGGGCCAGTAGGTGGTGAAGTGGATAGGTACCTGCCCTTGAGTCAGGAGGACTTGAGTTCAAATTCAGCCTCAGACACTTTCTAGCTATATGGCCCTGGACAAGTCCCTTAGTTTGCCCCAAAAAAAGGGAGGGGCAGGGGAGGATACCACAGCCACAGGAGAAAGAGGAAGAATTACATGAGGTGATGCAGAATGAAGAAAGCAAAAGTAAATATATATATAATGACCACAATAACCAAAAAATGACTACAATAATGCAAACAAAAAATAACAAATACATAATGACTACAATAATGCAACAAATAACAACATGAAACCAGTAAAGAAACTGTGATGAAAAATTGTGATGGTGGTGAACGATTAGGAAACACACCTTCCTCCCCTCAGCAGACAGGTGGCAAGCCACAGATGTGGAACATGGTACATACCGTGTTAGTGTGTGTACTGGTCTTTCTGGTGCTGGCTCAACTAAAATTTTTTTCTTTGTTACAAGGAAGGGTTCAGTGATTGGGAGGGGGTAAGCAGACAAGTCAAGAGAAGCTAGGCATAGCATAAAAATTAAAGTTAAATAAACGTCTCTGAAAAAACAGCCACGTTGTGCAATGACCAACACTGACAGACTTAGCCCTTCTCAGCAATGCAAAGATCTAAGACATCTCCAAAAGCAAAAGCCTCATGATGGAAAATGCTATCCACATTCAAAGAAAGAACTATGGAGTTTGAATGCAGATTGAAGCATACTATTTGCTCTTTTTTTCTTCTTTTTTGTTTTGTTTTCTCTTTCTTGTGGCTCCTCCTATTGGTTCTAATTCTTCCTTACAACATCATTAATGTGAAAAAAGGTTTAATAGGAAGGTATATGTATAGCCTATATCAGATTGTGCGCTGTCTTGGGGAGAGAGCTTATGGAAGTGTCTGTTGATAAATTAAGATAAATTTAAAAAAAATTACACAAAAACCCTTAGTTAATGGTCCTTGCCTGCAGAAACTGACAGTTGCAGGGTACATTGCAAGAAGGCCATGAATGGTCGCTGGGAACATTCTTTGCAGCTGCTTACCAAATCATCTGCCTGCAAGACATAGTCACTGCCCAGCCTTCCACCCTCCTCTCCTTTCTCCACCGAGGCTAGAGATTATTACCATCATCAACAGACTTTCTAATAAGCTTAAAAATATTTGTGACAGACATGAGCAAATGTAGAAAAGGAAGAGAATGACTTCTTTTGATAGGAAAAAAACTTTAGCTAAGGCATTCAATTTTGAGGGAGAGCTTTTTATTTTAGGAATCCGAGGCAGAGATTTCATTTAGAAGGTTACATGGTTGACACAGACTGCTGGATTTGTTGGTCAACTGAAGAAATTATTAAGGAAAGGGTTAGAGTGGGGGAAAGGAGGAAATTCTTGGAAAGTTTTCTGCAGATCAGCTTAACTTACTCTGTTTTTTTAAAGTATACATCCCAAATAATTTATTGTAAACTGAACATTACGCAGTAACAAGTTTAACTTGCTTTATGAATATTTCCATTTATAATGAATTTTCCTAGATTTTTGCAAATAAGTCTAATCAAAAGGTCTCGAAACAGAACAACAACAACAACAACAACAACAAAGGACTGGGGAGAAAACCTACCAATCGATAAGCCCTGGAGATACCACGGAGAGCAACCACAGTGTGGGAAGAATGACAGTTACCAAGGCCAGGAATTTACAGGGGACACATCCAAGCGAGGAGCCAATAATAACACCGGTGGTCTCAGAGTCTAAACACAAATGCAAGAGCTCTGAGACACAAGGAAAGTGAACCAGAGATCCTAATGCAAAGAGGTGACTCCGACCTCAGAGGCACAACTAACTGGGCCTTGGTAGCATAGGAATCACAGCCGAACGTGGCTCTGGAGGAGACTGCCTACTTCAACAGGCAAAGGATCCTCTACTAAAAACATGTACTGCCCAAGGAAAGGCAGAAACCCAAAGACCCCAACCCCACCACCACCACCCACACACACAATAATACTGTCATGAAAACATACAAGAGAGCAGCTGGAGAGAAAGAGAAGGAGAAAAGGCCTTAGAAAACAGACTAAATGTTGGTTAGAAGACCATTATAAACTGGAGATGGAAGATATTTGCTGAAGCACACTACAAATGAGCAGAATA